GCCCGCGCCCCGCCCCCGGCCGCCCGGGCCCCGCGCCCGCCTCTCCGGGCGTAGCACAGCGGGTCAGGAGCCCGAACAACGGGCTGGTTTGACCACAAACCCCCTGCGTCCACCGGTGTGGGCCGGTTGATAGGTGACGCTATGTACTTCTCTGCCAGCACAATCCTCCGTCCTCCATACAAAGCCCAAAGTGTTCTTCTATAACTGATTCCAGTGAGAAGGCCTCTCCTATAACGGGTTCAGCTAACCCGCTCTTACGGCTCGAAAGCTACCCCACACCGTGCGTGAGCAAGTGCAACTCTTAATCAGGCATATGTCGGATGCAGGTCTGAAATTGTCCTTGGCCTGTGCAACAGTCATAGAATGCTAGGTTGGAAGGGACCTCAAGGATCATCTGGTCCAACCTTTCTAGGCAAGAGCACAGTCTAGACAAGATGGCCCAGCACCCTGTCCAGCTGAGTCTTAAAAGTGTCCAATGTGGTGGAGTCAACCACTTCCCTGGGGCGATTATTCCAATGGCTGACTGTTCCCATTGTGAAAAATTTCCCTCTAACATCCAATGGGAATCTCCCCAAGACCATCTCATATGCATTCCCCCTTGTCCTTTCCATGCAACTCCTTGTGAAAAGAAAGTCTCCATCTTCTTTGTACCTACCCCTTAGGTACTGATACCTGGTGATGAGATCCCCTCTAAGCCTCCTTTTCTCAAGACTGAACAAACCCATTTCTCTCAGCCTGTCCTCATCCAGCAGGCTTCCCAGTGCTTTGATCATCTTGATGGCCCTTCTCTGGACCCCCTCCAGCCTGTCCACATCTTTTTTGTTATAGCGGGGACCAGAATTGTACACAGTATTCCACGTGTGGCCTGACAAGCACTGAGTAGAGTAGGATAATGACTTCTTTGGGCCAGCTAGGCAGCCTCTGCTCATCTCCAGAGGCTGGCCTGGTGGCACACGTGAACAGCCTCGGTCTCCCCTGTAGTCACACCGAAGAAAGAGATCAAGCTATGTCAGCAGTTTGCACAAGGCAGGTGTACTTGTGAGACTGCGGTGGCTTTTGTCAGCATGCTGGCTACAGAGGGCATGGGTCTTCCAACAGAGTCCTCATTTTGCTGGGCTGCTGCCTTCACCTGGGTTACAGGGTCAACACAGTAAACGTTCTTTCATGTTCGTGTGGTAAACATCTGTGGTGCCTTGCTCCTTCCACTGTCAGGAGCTGCTTTCCTGCCTCTTGCCTCAGAAAACTTAACTCCCAGGATGTGTACAATAACAGTAATTATCCTATTAAACGATGGAGGTATATTCTATAATTAAACATGTGCAAATGGCTGGCTGTGTTTATACCAGGACTGTGCCTGTTGATTAGTAATAATCTGAGAATTGTTGGAAGGTGTGACTTAGTTTTCATGGTGTGGATTGTGCTTTGCAGTCATGCAAGAAAGCAGTATATTCCACTTTTTGTTTGAGTGTGTATAGGAGCTGTGGGGTCTTAGCACACAACAGGATGAGAGTTTGAATTTGGAAGGTGGACCCAAACAGCAAAGTATTCTACTAAGGATACTGAATCCCTTCAAGTCAGAGAGTATTTGCATTCTGGGATTTTATTTTTTCCATTGTAGCCATAGAATCAAACTATTCAACATGGACATTAGTCCTTATCCAGATTATAATTCTATACCTCACTCAGAGTGAAGGGTTGGCCAGGATGGCATTCAGATCCTTGACCTTAATGATGAGCAGCTGCAAGAAAGGAGGCAAAACCTGCCCTAAATGAACAATCCCATAGCTCACACTTATGGATGTGGTGCTTTAGACCTTCCTGAGCATGCCCTTTGAGAATAGGTGTTTCTCTGTGTTGTCCTCCTCCAGGTGGGACTGTGTAGTCTTCTTGCTCTGAGATTGGATCTGTCTGCTGCAGTTGACCTGTTTGCTGTCCGAGTATCTATTTTAACTCTGGAAAGCCAGGCCATGTTATGTGTTTTTCATCCCTATTACAGGAGCCAGGGGTAGTGGATAATTAAAGTATCTCAGACCTAGCTCCTTCAAAATAAGAGGAGTATTTACTCACTGAGAGATGTACACTAATCAGGGCAAAATATGTACTTATTTTCCTATCAATCTTCTGTAGGGTTTCTTCAGTGAAGCCACCTCTGAATTGGGAGAGACATCTAGACTGCTGTAATTCATGGGTGTCTGCCTGTTTTCTGGTGTGCTTTTTACTACTCATCAGGAGTCCTCGGTTGCTTATGACAACAAACCCAATCCATTTCTTTAATAAGGCTTGGAGGGTTTTGGGGTTTTTTTATCATTTACTATCCCATTTGATCCCGACCTCAGTTGTGGGAGGGACAAGCCCTAACAGCTTGGTTAGCCCTCCCTGTAATTAGTCTTCCTAGACTGGAGATCTTTTGACTGCATTTTTTTTTTTTTATGCTGTTCTGTTTCCTCTTGATTTCTTTCCGGTGATCTCTTTAAATTTCTGGGAGAACAACACCAAGCAGATCAACTTGTCCACATATAATATTTGTAAATAATTATGTGTATACTTTCCTCATTCTTCATACACTGCTAAGGGAAGCAGTCTGATGGTAGAAAACTGGCGTAACTGGTTCCAAGGCAGCTCTCCACCACATATGGAGATGTATAGAGAAAGAGATGAAATTTGCACTTCAGTTTCCCCTCATGCCTTTACAGTCTTGCATGAAGTCTGCCTTATTCCTGGCCTGGTACAGCGCTCAGAGTAGAAAAATGTCAGCTCCACCTCAGCTAGCACAAATGTATGTGATCAGTGTTCCTGAGGTTTTGATTACTTCAGGGATGTGACAAAAAAGGGAAAACATCTTAACAATGATAGCTCCTGTAGCTGTATTTTCAGCATCAAAATTCCCTGTCCACTGTGTTATGGACTTGGCTATAACCTTGACCATGAAAACAGGTCATTAGGACTGAGTAACTGTCACTACTTTTCTGAAAAGATGGGGAATTATTTGCAGTCCCTCCTTTAGGGCTGGGTTTTATAATGAAAGGGACATTGCACTTCATGTGTTCTCAAGGGACCCTAGAGCAGTTGCACTGCGCAGTGCCCTTAGGCAGCCACCTGCTGAGCTAGCTGCAGTGTAACCTTAGCAACGAAGATGAGTGTGTCAGTAATGAGTCAGTAAGGTGAGAGGCAAGCTGGAATAAACAACAAAGGGCTCCTTCGGTCTCATTCTGTGTCTGAAAGACACTCTGGGAGCCTTTGGTTAAGTTCACTTGAACCTTAGCTTCCACACCTTAAAGATGGGGATAATGGTATTTGCTAAAGAAGGCTGCAGGAACAGCAAGGCCAAGGGAGCCAAGGGTTTGTGTTTGCCCTGCCAGCACTGCCTAGTTCAGCATGAGCTCTGAAATTCATGGCGGGAGGGTAGCTACACCACTGCATGCCTACCCTCCTCTCTCTCCCTTCACCAGTGTCATCACAAGTAAAACCAGGCCTTGAAACGTATAGGTTCTGTTTAGGTTGTTTAAGTACCTAAAAGTCTCAGGAGGATGCACGTCTCCAGGCATCAAAGTCCTTAATTCACTGGTAACTTTCAAAGATTTTCTCAGTTATGCCAACTATGCGCAATGTCCAGCAGAAGCTGAGAAGCTCAGCCACTTCAGAGAGGGGTTGACAGCAATCCACAGCTCTCCTGTTGCAAAGCCTAATCCTGCTGTCCCATTTCCAGATTGCGAGGGTGACCCATATGTTGTTGTGGCAGTGAGTCAGGAGATATGATTCACAGTGCAACAAGCATGATTGCTAAACTCGCTGGTCCTTCCTAGCAGAAATCACACACATACACACATTCATTCTTTTTTAATTCTTCATGCAGTAATCTGCCAAGTTTGTAAAAGTGACTATTGGCATGTGTGTCAGGTTCAGGGAGGTTCCTTTTCTGTGTGACATCCTCAAACACAGTCAGAGCACCCATATGCTCTGATTTCACATTCGGCAAATAATAGCAAGGAGTGAAAGTGCTGTAGCAGTCCCAGAACTCTGGGCAGGATTTCTCTGGTGACCACACTGCAATGTAAATGATCCTGCTGTGGCTGGCCACTCCTTTTCTGAAGAATCCAGCCTATTTTTATGAAGCAACAACATAATTATGTTTCTCTCCCTTCCCCCTCCAACAGCAGCCAGAGCTGGGCACTCCCATGTGCTGATCCTCTCAGTGCCTCCTTGGTTTTTGTCAACAGTAAGGGGGACTTAAGACGATAATCACATTAGCTCTGGGCAATTAAAATACACTGCTTATAGTCAACGCAGTTTAAAAAAGTGGATTACACACAGCGTTGGGGTTGTAACAGAGAGGAGTCAGCTATTTGGGGAAGAACAACAAGAAAAATGGCATTTTAGCCACTCAAAAATCTATGGTTGTATATGAGAGTGATATACCAGTATTTTTCAAAGAAAACCAATGTGTATTTTGAAGATCATTTACTGAGTCTTGCATAACGGTCATGAGTAGATTCCTATCTTGTGCTAGAATAATTTGCTTGCTGAAGACAATACGAAAAACTTAGTGGCATGCTTTGAAATGTTATTTTGCTAGATACAAGGTGTAACACTCAAGAGAGACCACATGTTACTTCGCTGGTGGAAAATGCTGAAAAAGGCTAGCCATCTGCTATGTACATTGAATTTTGTTCAGATAAATTGATTACATTTAATCCTAGCTAATGCAAGTGGTAGTCTTAAAAATGACAGCTTGTCTTTCTGCATCGTGTCATGAACCTTTAAACCAAGGGCAGCTTTTAAGACTGGATAACCTAAATACTTTTTTTTTTAAACTTCTCTAAAGCAACCATTGAAATATGTAAATAATAATGATACAGAAGTTAAGATTCCTGTTTAGGATTGTCAGATTCTTTACAAAACATTAATTACATTTTAAATAATAAGAAACAATCTTTGATATTTGAAGTACATCTGTCATCTACTGCATGTCAACAATGAAGAGGATGAAACAACAGTTTTCAAAAGGCGCAGTAAGAACAGCAAAGTTTGGAGTTTTCCCACAGTTGCAATTCATGTGCACTTCATGAACACACTGAACAGCACGTGCTGTAAATCATTCTTTTTTTCATGGCAAGTATATTTGTATCCAGTGCAGCACAATATATAATGTATTTACTACTGAGACCAGAAGACAGAAAATATTTGACAGACCAGGTTGACAGACCAAAATGTAGTAATACATTTCCAAAGTTTACTGTTTCCACATTGGTTCCTCAGTTTTTCAAAGTCCACTTTAGGATTTGCTTTGGACTTCCTATGTTGGTGGGAGAGCTAAAGATGCATTTTATGGGTACAGTAAACTTGCTAAAGCAGACACAGAGTCTGTGTGCAGTACCTTTCTGCATTAGCAAAACCTGTATTTCTCACAACCAAGGCAGCTCAGGTTCTTTCTCAGAAAGCAACTGTTCTGAAAGAACTCTTCCCATTTTAAGAGAGAGTGTACTTTAAATGATCATTTCAAGGGAGGAAAATCTGGAATGGAGTAACTTTGCATTTAATAAAGAAGATAGCCATTTCTCCTTCTCTGGTTGCTTTCAGAACTTACCATGGTTAATGTTAAAGGGGGAAGGGATGGAATAACCCCTTCCCTACTGTGCGACCATCTTGTCCGTAATCCCCGCTGAAGGGATGGCATACCTCACTTAGCTGGAGGTTGCATGTGCCTGCAGGATTAGCTGTTAGCATGGGATGGAGTGGATTAAGTAACCACTGCCATCAGTATCTCACCCTTTGC